ATATGGTTTATGGTCTAATATGGTTTATGGTCTAATATGGTTTATGGTCTAATATGGTTTATGGTCTCATATGGTTTATGGTCTAATATGGTTTATGGTCTAATATGGTTTATGGTCTCATATGGTTTATGGTATCATAATGTCTCATATGAAACTATGTGTTTCTTTATCAAACATCTACATACAATAACATTTTCTTTGCCTATAATAGTCAACTACAATAATTGCCTATAATAGTAAACCAAGTGCATGGTTCCTGAGCTATGACCTGCAATAGAAACCATAAAGATTAAACAGATTAAAAATTAAGCACAAACAACTGATTGGCCTATATAGATCAAGACACTTTGCATCAATTTTCAAGTCTGGCTTTCGAGTTGTCGTAACGCCTTGGCATTAGGTTTTAAATGTATTCACCTGCTTATACATTATTGTAGCTCTAGACCATGTTATAAACGTAAAAAACGTAGTTGGAAATACTGATTTTGCATGAAAATCTTATTCATTTATATTAAACTAGGCTTTTATGGCGCTTCGCGCCCATCTTCTATTTCAGCTTTGAACATGTTCTCATTATGACGTTGAAAAACAAAGGAAAAAAATTTCGCGGATTTATAAAAAAAAGATTTACGGATTTTCAAGATTTTAAAATTTTTTACAAAAATAAAAAACTTTCAAACACTTTTTAAATTTTGATCATTCATAAACCTCCCCTGGGGTCACGTGAGATCCCACAAAAAATTTGGACCCGATAGGTTCAGCCGTTCTGACGTTTATTGGATACAAACAAACAGACAGACAAGCCAAATTTATATAGAGACTAGGTTTTTAGGGCGCTTCGCGCCCATCTTCTATTTAAATTGTGAACATGTTCTTTTTGTTTACATTTTAAAACAAAGAAGAAAAAGATTTTGCGGATTTTTAAAAAAATAATTCGCGAATTTTAAAATTTTTTAATATTTTTACTAAATTGAAAACCTTTAAAACACATTTATTTTTTATTTTTATCATTCATAAACTGGTTCAGCCGTTTTGACGTTTATTGGATACAAACAAACAGACAAGCCAAATTTATATAGAGATAAAAGAGGATTTGTTTATGCGCAATTTAATCCCACTTATTTAAAAACTTATTTAAGCAGGTACATGTTGAAATCAGGTTTTCTAATTCTTAAAGAATTTGTATCACTCACCCAGTTTTAAAGTTGATTTAAAACCTGTTCAACGGGGTTAAATTTAATTAAAAAACTCAACTCAAATTTTTATCATCTTATAATAATAACCTTTTTGTGGTGAATTTGAAAACTCGTTTGCGACGCAATAATCAACCTAAATAAACCTTTTAGCATTGAAGCTTATTTGCTATATTGCCACAAACTCAAACTTTTCAATCCCTTTAAACTTTGAAATTTCAAACGTCGACTACTTAATCTAACAGAATTCAACGTTTGAATATTTGAATTGAATTGAAGATTTAGGGATTAAAAAATTTGGGTTGGCGGCAAAAACTCATTTCCTTTATTTCAAAAGTTTCGGCAACAAAAAGTGTAGATAATGTAGGCTCACAAAGCTAACAAACTGACACTCAAATCAATGAAGTTTTTATTAAACGAGCCTGAATTGGTCAACCCCCCCTCCCCCTGCCCAAGGCATACATAGATTTAGACCCCCAACCATTATTGGGTAAAAGTCCTACCATAATTATCATGTGTAATGAACCCCTCTGTATCAATAAAATACGTAAATGTTATAAATTAAACAACGTAACCAGATGCATGTTGTTTGGTGGGTTTACGAAACATGATTTAAAGGGAGTGTTCGCTAAAAATGAAAGGGGGGTATAGACTTAATGCGATAAAAAAGCGCTTTTGATCGCTACTAATCTTACTTCTATCTGTTGCGTCTATAAGGAGAAAATTGTTAAAGACGTCTCATACCAAATAACTTAGCGCCCATACAAATTGAGAAAATTGCAACATACGACTAAGACCATAAAAAATCAAATTAATTTCAAGCAAATCATTCAGATATTACAACCTATAGTCATCGATTATTTTTCATCACATTTGCATATAGTTAATTTTTCATAATATATTTTACTTCGTTTATGAACAATGCATTTAAAACAACGATTTTTTTCCGCTTGGTGTCTCTGCCACGTGGAATCATTAAGAGCATCGAGAGCAAGACATCTGGCGGATAAACTAATTGGCGTTTTAAGTGCATTGTATAAAAAACAAATAAAAATATTATGAAATATCAACCATATGCCTATGCATTTTTTTACAATCTTACTCATGGATTTCAATTTTCTCAATTTGGGTGGATGCTGCGTTATTCGGTATGAGTAGACGCAACAGATAGAAGTAAGATTAGTTACGATCAAAAGCGCTTATTTTTCGCTTTATGCCAATACCCCCTTTCATTTTTCGCGAACACTCCCTTTAAGGCAGTCGAATACAAGCCTTAAATCAAGACAGTCAAATACAAGCCTTAAAGCAAGGCAGTTGAATAAAAGCCCTAAAACAAGGCAGGTTACAGAGAAACCAGAATTAGTTTAAAACATTCTAGAAGCTTCAACCATTTTGTTTTCAATTATTTTGTAAAAATGAAACTTATTTTGGTAAGTTTTACTTTTGGCTTTAAAAAAAATATTTTTAAACTTAAAGCATAAAACAATACAGATTAAAGGATATATTAAAAAAAAATAAGCATTTAATTGCCAGTTTTTCTATCATATTGCGTGTTCAGATTCTGGTAGGAGTGTCTACTCTATCTGGAGCAAATGCAAACTTCGTAAAAACGAACTCTCCTCCTATCTCTATTAGCAATGGGCATATACCTATTAAACACAGGTATCTATTTATAACAACCATTTATTCATGAATTCAAAATGTAACTTACATAGATTGTATATACCTTGGATTGCATAAGTATTAAATACAAAGAGAATAGAATATATATTTGAGGGGAATTTACTAGAAAAAAGTGTTATCACTATAAATCAAATGATGGTTTATATTCACCTAATTCATTATTAAGTTTAATTAACAGCTTTAAAAATTTCGAAATTGAAATGAATAGTCTAGGGAACATACTGTATTAATGTACTCTACTGCACATAATTTGTGAACATTTACATGATTTGTACACTTTGAACTCCCTTTCAGGCTGAAAGGGACTGAAAAAATTCATACCGAGAGATTCTTTAAATTCCTCTCTTATATATATTCAATTCTCTATGATTAAATATTTTTAAAGCTGTCAAAATCTTAAAAATGTTTTTATAATAATTTTCAAAAATTTGTGGAAGTAACAAAAAAACAGACATCAATTGGTAATTTCTGAGCTCTTATTTTCAAGATAACTTTTAATAAAAAATTGAATTCTTTTTTTCTAATCATTTGTTACACGGTAAAAAAAAACTCAAAAATTCATTTTTGAATGATTTAAGATCAAAATGCATACCTCTGATATTTTTTAATTAAATCTTAATTTTATAATTTTAAAATTTTAATCATAATCAGGGCCACGCCTGGAGCCATGAACCACATCGAGCCCACAGATACTAGAACTAAACGAGCCGCAACACAGTCCTATTCTGTGATTACACGTTCATCACCAACGAAATACAGGTAAAAAAGTGTTTGTTTATATTTCAGTAATATATTTTTTTCTATAATTTTTTAATCAGAAAACTATGGAAGAAAACATATTGCAATACTTAATTAAGTGTATTGGATGTTGTTAAAGTAGTTTTGCCGGAAACTTAAATTCCTAATTCAGTGAAATGGGTCTCCTTACACTTCACTATTGCTCATTGGGCTGTTGAAACTTGTAACTTGATTCTTTAAGTCGTCTTCCTATTCCAGAGTTTTCTGGTTCTCATTTTAAGGAAATCCTATGTCATCATGTAAATTCTCTATAGAATCAGTTTTAAAAACCAGATAACGTTGTGTTGTGTTTTAACCCAGTTTTAATAATTAGACGAGAAGCGCTACAAGGATTCAGAATGCGCCGGGAAGCGCAACATAATGCCGCTGCTGGTATCTCCCACCGCCCAAACCTGTACAACTCTAGGACTTACTATGGAGGATATGAGAACTCCAGAAACGGACGGCCTCAGGAGCCCAGATACCTGGATTCATTTGAGGACATGAATCAGGTTGAGAACTTTCAAATATCTGAAGAAGAGATGGCTTTTTGGTCTGTAGATTCAACCTCAACATCGTAGGAAATTAGAAAATTAACCTTTCTTCACTGTCAACAAAAGTGTAATTTAATGTTCATCAGTAAAGTTGTTTCACGAAAAATTTGGTTTTCAGATAATTATTTAAAGATTAGAGCTATGATTTAAAATTGTGCTGCCTTTGTATAGAACAATTTGACCTCATTGAGGTTTTAAGCCTCTGTTTACTGTTTCACATTGAAACGTATTTTTAAATCATATTCATTATTGATATATAAAATGACTGAGAAATATATGTATATCAAATTTTTACTTGTTTATGTGTATATAAAGTTAAAAGTATATAAGTTTAAGAACACATTCTAGACAGTGTTTACTGTAAAGTAATTTTTCCGAAGGTTAGCTACTTTACCAAATGCTTTTCCCCAGTAGCAACTTCCTAAGGGTAATTTCTCAAGTGGTAACTTCCGAATTGTGCAATTTCCCAAGCAGCGACTCACCAAGTCAGAACTAGCCACAGCGCTCGGCCCCCTAGGCAAACATTGCCACAGCACTCAGCCCCCATTACAGCCTGCAGCACCTCAGAAGGCCTAAGCTAACCTTTGGGAATTGGCTGCTGAAGTCGCCCTTGGGAAATTCCCATTTGGAAATTACCTAACTCCATTTTCCCCATAACCCCCCTCCCTACCAATCTTATATTTACAGTATACCATAAACGCCAACATGTTATATAAGATAATAAATCTGATTGTGAGGAAAAAAGACAGATTGATGTAAAATCTAGTTCGCTAGCCAAACTCATTAGAGAAAGAGGGACTAACTGGGATTCTTTTAAAGGGAGAGTTCGTGAAAATTAAATATCTTATCTACAGGTTGCAGACAAATTATAGATTACATTTTTCGTAAACACTACTGTTATTGAAGAGACAGTTGGATTTTGAGTACGTTAGGGTAGGAATGATTTTCAAAGATAACAAGAAAACTAACAGAATTTAACGAGTTCTCACTTAGAAAAACTATGATTTACTGTTCCTCAGTTTTGTTCAGATGCAACTCCTAAACTATGGGGGGGGGGGGGGTTAACCTACTCTAAAGTATAACGATGTGTAGTAAATACCCTACTCCAGAACGGTTTCTCTAACAAGTATCTGTCCAGGTACAGCTCAGTTTCACTTAGATATCAATGTTTAAAACCCGTAACTATCAATCCCAAATCATATGAATGATCCTCAACCTGCATATCAAAACAGGGAACCACACTGATACAATCTTGTGATCTATCAATTCCACTACCACTGGGACCGCCATGCAATCTTGTTACACTGTTAGAAAAAGCCGCTTACAATCAACAGTATTCAGTTCACGCACCAAGCCATGCAGATCCGTTGTAATATATCAACGATAATTCTGCTTGATATCAATTTACGGCC